TTATGCTGGACAGTAGAAATTAATTATGATTTAAGACGGACATGATATACCATTTTTAACATATAATTAAATCAATAAAATAAAATTGCATCAAATATAGAGCGAGCACGCATAAACAATATTACAACACAAATAAAAACGTCAATCGCATTGTTTCGTTTTGTACTGACTGTTCTGTTGTGTTGAGGGTATATTTGAGAAAGAATCGCTCATATCGATGGCTTACAGTCCAGTAAGAAACTTTCTCGAATCTTATGCAGTGAATGCAAACCTTCGTATTCTTTTAGGTAAAGACAGGCCAAATTGAATTTGTTGAGTTCTAAGCTCTGAAAATTAGGTAATGCAATTGATCACCACAACTGGACACAAGGTCATAATCGTACAGTCGTACAGAATACAATACGAATCGCTTCTGAATGAAGAACTCGTGAGCCGAGTTGTTCATTTAAAGAATACTTGAAACATGAAGCAAATTCAAGTTATATAAAAATGACAAGAGACGAGGTGAGCGTACACATACAAACGCATCTTTACTTACAATATGAATAAACCTTATTTTATATCTTCAAAAAACAAAGCACAGATATGACGACAGCAAGATCAAATTCGACCAAATACTTTCGTGTTCACTACAAGCGAACAAGGAAGTCTTCTTATGAGTGCGGTGATTCTGAGTGATTCTTCTCTTGTAACTTATTCAAATGAAAAATCAATTGATCGGCAAATTTTTGACGATATATTGGTGAGATACAATCGAGCAGTTGATAGATTGTCTCGAAATGACGTCCGTTTATCAGTTTATCAATACGTTCGTTCCCATCCTCCTCCGTTTTCAAATCACTGCCAATGCCTTCAGATGCCACGACCTTATCAGCAGCATTATCACCGTCCTTATCACTGCTATCACCTATCAAATGATCGTGTCGTTTCGAAACTAATCGCCATCCATTTGCAGTCAACTCAACGCAATACGTTGCTTCTGGAAGCTCACAAAATCAGAGAAAGATTGGGATCATTTTGACGAAAAATATGGACACTGGTAAGGTGTTAGCTGAAAATTTTTTGGCTTATACTAGTTCATGGTTTCCGGTACCCTACAATAAGGTTCAGCTTAAATCTAAGCCAACCAAGGGGGAACTGCAGGAAATCCGATTCAAATTGTTGCGTTTACGCGAAGCTGGGTAAAATTTTCCTGGGCAAAATAGTAGGTCATAATCAGCCGGAAAGAGTCGATAGCGACGAAACTGGCGCAACTAAAATTCAGGCAGCGAACCGGACCGCTGGCACCACTCAAGATTCATTAGACTGTTTGTGAGGCTTACCCCAGGTCTGCATGCTTTGGGTTACGTGCACGACTTGGAGGTACTGCTTGACGTAATATGATCGCTATGGATGCCCCCTCGAAAACCCGTTGAAATCGATACAATTATCGGCAAAAACTCAATTAAAATTTCAAAAATGTATCGAATTTTACGCGAATAACTAACTTTCACACGTGGTTATGTTCAAATAGACAATATCGTCATTATGAGGTAATTTCTCAGAGACGGCAATGTGCTCAACAGCGAACGGTAACTCCTTGAGCGCAGCTTTCACTTCTTCTTTCAGCAGTTTACTGTCATTGTTATCCTCCTCCTCATCATCTTTATCATGCTCGTCCTTCTTCGTTGACTGTTTATCCATTTCTGTCTGACTTCACATCAGCTGATTTCATCAAAAATCGCCAAGTTAAAATCAAAACGCATCAACTCAACACCTCTTCACCGTTCATCATTAGTGACCGGTCAATCTGCCTAAAGACATTTTGGCTAACGACAGTTTGCCTAAAGACACATTGCCTAACGGACAGTTTGCCTTTTAGGCGAAATATTCATTAAAAACTGTAAGTTAGGCAAACTGTCCGTAAGGCAATGTGTCTTCAGGTAAACTGTGGTTAGGCAAAATGTTTTTAGGTAGATTGACCGGGTACCTTCATCATTCATACCGGTCACACCTCTTGATCGGGAACAATATCATTGCGCACATCTAACACCATCTGATCCAACGAACCATTCGACGAAAATATGTTTTGTGGATAGAGATTCGCCGAGATAACAACATATCCAACAACATCGGTAATGATGATAAATAGAAGGCAATCTGTACAATTGGAGACTATAACCACAAGCCACTTAGCATAATCCAATTGGACAGTCGAAAGAACGAGATGACTGAGGTTAATATTTTTTTAATCAGTAAGCAGTACGTTGTTAGTGCATGTAACCGCTATTATTATCACTGAATCGCTATTGTTATCACTGATAACACTCCTGCCATCATTATCATCATCATGCTTTCACATCGTTAATTTCATCTTTCAACTACATTCAGCTCAGTTTATTGCCAAAAAAGCGTTAAGCAATCTTCTCAAATGAGCCGATAGACCAATTGATCAATACAAACACTTTAACAAAATATTCCTTGACACCTCGCCCCAATTCTTTACTAATCAAAACAGATTTCATTCGTTCAACAACCAACAAACGCACACTTCACTAAAAACCAAACGCCACCGCAAAGCAGTGTTTTCAAACAGAACAGGTTTACCCAAAACTGAACAATGTAAATCGAAATTAATGACCAGTTCCGGACAATTTTCCGCACTTCCCTGTTCCACACCATTACCGAATCAATGCTCAATTTCAAATATTGAAATGAGAGAAAGTGTTTCCGTTGAAAAACGTCACATTCAACTCAACACGAAGTACCAAAAAACGTGAATATTACGTGAAAACATAATATTTCCATCAAAAATTCATAAAATACATAATATTTTTACGTAATATTACGTGATAACATAAATAAATTCATAAAAACATGCGTAAGAGTAATGAATCGCGGAAAAATCAGTCGATAAACTGAACAATCCTGAATCAGTTTCGTTTCAACTATCGCAAATCGCAAAATTATGCAAACATCTACCAAATTAACTTCAGTAAAATGTTTCACAGTATCATTCATATGTGAATATATGCAAATAAATATTTATTTATGCATTTGTTTATATGTATATAACCGAAATAAGTATTTATTGATAATTGAATTTTATCAAAGCAAACGTCATTCACGTACCGATAACAACCACAAAAAGAGCGATCGTTTCGTCGCGTATCAACGTCTGTTCACATCATAAAATCAGAGCGTTCTCATGATTTTCAATATGTTTGATAAAATCAAAATTAAAAAAACGTTTACAGATAAGAGAACCAACCGAGACGAACGTATTGCAATGTAACGCAAAAAAAAAGAAATTCGAACAGACGGTGTCGAAACCAATTAACTGAGTGCATCGTGAAAAAAGCATGGAAAATGTGTTGAAGACGGTGATAAATTCTCGTGAAACCTTTTTAACGAATCCCATTTCATCTCAACGGCGAAAATGAGCAAAATGTGTTTGTTACGAATATATTCTCATATATTAGCTAACAAGAAATTCAGAATGTAAAAATGAAATGAAAATCAATAAATAAAAGGCGACATTGTGAATTGAGACAAACAAAATGGAAACTCGAAAGAAAATGCCTAAAAATAAACGAGAGTGCATCAAATATTGATCAGTGAGAAATTGGTTTCAGGCTTGCCATATCGATCAAAATGAGTCTGGTTTAGGTACCATATCTTAAACCCAACTAACTGCTTCAGTTTGAGTTTTCGCAGAACTTTAGTCTCAGTTCTCGTAGGTGCTCGCTTGCCCAGCTAAAGAACATAACCATATTGGGTACATCCATACCATCGTCAAGCTTACACTCCAATTTAATACTTTTATACTTTCATGGAATCGATTTTATTCGAGTATCGAGTAGAATCATTTTTTGAGAATATCTGATAATTTCTCTATTATCAGATTATCCATATCCATACCCGTATCCATCAAAACTGTACCGATGATTACAGCTGTTACAATCAATTCTATACTTGTTACCCATTAGAGCATGATCACCTCCGACCAATCTGCTGGCTTTAGACGACAGGATCTCGTTTCATGAATATTTATAATGAATTCAAATACAGTACAGACGAATAACTTGAAAATTTCAGAACTTATTACCTTTTTAGTGGCAACCGCGATATTTATGCGCTAAGCATCTTTCTTCAACACTCGCACACACTCACACACATAATCAGGCATAAATAGAGTATTCGTTGAATGATAACCAAATTTTCGAAATGATAACCGAATGATAAACGGAAACGATGATAAGTGATTAAAAGTAAGACCAATTCACAACAAAGTTTCAGTGATTAGGTATTATTTATAAATTTCAATCGAGAATAAATGCGCTTTCGATCAGTTATTTCCCTTCAAAGAAAATAACTACCCAAATATTTTTTCAGCACTCATACAGATATCAGAATTCGACATGGAGATGCGTTACATTGGAAGTAGTTGAAAATGTGTTTCCTCTGAAAATAAGAAATTTTCAACAAAATGAGAAAAATCGAAATTGAAATTTCGAAATCACAACAATTAGTTCCTGAAAAACATCTATAGACAAAATTCGAATTTCCCTGCACCGCATCTCAAAGTCATTCTTCATTCATCCATCCATATGAGTCAATAACGAGCGAAACGATCGGATCCTGTCAAATCAACGAGTTTTAAAAATGATGAATGAATGAATTTCACATGCTCAAGTGAATTCGACATATTCAACGGGACAAATCAAATCAAATCTGAATTTAAA